ATAATATATGTTTTTAACTTAACTTCCTTCTTTCCTCCTTCTTTTATCCTTCTCTTCCTTCTCTCTTATTTCAATTAAACTTTTCTTCAAAATTTATTAATATTTGATATATTAAATATATAATTATATATATATATATATATATATATATATTTTTGTTTTGTTTTGCTCTCAGCTCTTATTTATCGGCTTTTTAAACAACACGCGTGTTAATTAATGAAAATTGTAATTTTCTCGCGTGGTTTTTTTTTACTTTCACAGATAATGAAGAGAGTTTTGTGTCTTATGTGGTTTGTGTATATGTGTGTTAACGTGTGTGCGTGTGTGTATTTTATTTGTAATCGGTCTCGATTGCTCTTTTTGTTCGTTTCGTATTCAAAAATTGTTGTTGATTCTTTTAAATTGTACTTTTTGTATTTTTTTTTGTTTTTTAAAAAAGTTCTCGCGACAACTTTTTATTATTATATGCTCTCACGAACGATCTTTTTCAAAGTTATCGTTTTTTGCCTGATGATTAAGAATTTTGGGAAGAAGATGAGACACGACGTCGAATTTGTTTTCTAAGGAGAAGGGGGGTCCTTACTTTCTGGTTATCGCTTTTGGACGTGGACCCTGAAATTTTCTTAATCTGCGAGGCGGTCTCAACTCCAGCAGCAAGGCCGCATCTTCCCTGAGAACAAACAAAATCCATATGACAAATAAATAATTAAAATCGACTGTGATAAATATATTTGGATTTTGTTTTTATATGTGCCGACGATTATACGACAATATGGAGTGGTGGTGGTGGTGGTGGTAGGTGAGTCTAACATAAGTCAACGTTAATTTTATTATATTTATCGTATATTACACAATTATTTATATTATAACATAAATTGTTTCTTTTTTTCTTTTTTATTATTATTATTATTATTATTATTCGTTAGTTCATTGTCGTCATTAACAACGGCACATATAAATGATTTATAATTGTACAGGAAATAAATGTGTTTTATTTCTACTCGTTTAAATTTCCCTCCTCTTTCCTCTTTTTTTTCTTTTTCTTCAAAATGAAACAACAAATCGCCTACAAAATGAACATAATTTATTATACGTTGATCGTAAAGTTTTTAAACGAAATGATTGATCAAAAAAAAAAAAAAAAGTACAACAACATATATTCGCGTTGATTCTTTGCATTGACCTCAAGAGAAAACTCGTACTTGTCTCTGTCAATCGTTTGAAACCTTCAATTGACGCTTTGTAACACGTTTCATTGGGTGATACTAAAAATAACTATAATTCGGCCTGTCGACGATTGCCATTTGAATACTTCGAAAATTTAACTGTCGACATAATGTTACATCTAAGATTAATTAACCCATTTATGTTCTTTCAACTTGATATTTAATACAGGATGTATGTCATTTTGTCATTTTTACAAAAATGCTTTTTCTTTTGTGATTAGATACGAAACGATTTCCTATCTATCTTCTTAAGTGATTAACTTAAGATTCATTAATTAATTTAAAAATATTATAATATATTTGAGACTTGAACGAATATTTTTTAACTTGTGAATTGAAGAAAATGAATTGAAGAAAGAAAATGAAGGAAGAAAGAAAGAGATAGAAAGAAAATGAGACATTTGTGAGACGAATGGAACAACACGACGACGACAACATGTCTCTCTTACCGATATTGCCGCCGGTCAAGTTCTATTCGTGTCATTCAATGAGAACCTACGCTTTTGACGCAATGCCCGTTTAAAAATATACTTAGTTGGTGCCGGTATACATGGACTGACGATATGGCGTGTGCCCAGTGTGTATATGTGTATACATGCACAAATAATACATGCTGACAAAAATATACATAAACACGTATCTACGTTTTATACAGGATGAATCAATTCAAGTGCCATTAAACCTATTTAATTAAAACAAATATATATATACTATAATAAATAAAATATTATATTATATTAGAGAGAAACCTTGATTGATTCAAATTACTTTTTAATTACTCTACGTGTGACTCTAATCTTGAATAAATCTTCTTTCCTAAAGTAAAACAATTATCAATGATCGAGATAAACGATTACAAATTTATGATCAATCTAAAGAATAGGATTATAATAGTAGATGATGATAAAAGTTTGAAAAAAAAAARATGTAGATCAAAGATTTGTCGATGTATTATACCGATAAAAATCATTCCGATTAATCTACAATAATTGTACAATTTCATCATCAACAAATAAAACGAAATGACGAATGATGAAGGCGAGGTTTTGTCCGTGAGAAAAGATGAAGAAAATGAGAAACAAAAAGAAAAAAAAATAATAAAAAAAATAGATAAAGAATGGTAGATGATAATATCGACGAGCTTGTTAATTATTATACGAGGAGAACGAGGAAAATCGATCGATCGATCGATCGATCGATCAATTGAACGACATAAATACCAGTTCGTTAATCTCGGTAATGTACTCTCAATAATCTCAAGGAAGTTGAATAAATGATAGATTAAGTAATCGTTAAGTGTGTTAGACAAAGAAAGAGAAAGAGAGATAGATAGATAGATAGGAAAATGAATCGATGGTAATCGATAGATCGATCAATTGATTAAAACATTGCAAAACATATACCGAGTAAGTAAATAAAGAAAGAAAGGAAGGAAGTGTTCGTTAGAAATCAAACATGACGCACCCTCCCTCACAATAATTTTCTATCTTTTTAATGGTAACGAAAAGATTTTACTTTATGTACTTTTTTTTTTTTTTCACCGTGTTTATTACACGTGTGCATATGCGCAATGCATTTAAAAGTTCGTTATAATAATCAAAGCGAAACGATCTCTTGCAATCGTCAGATAAGATAAAATCTTTATGCTCGCGTTTTATTTGCAATTTTTGTCTGGCCTTCGGGTGATGATCTACCTAAAGCAAGGTAGAACTTGTTAAACTTCGAACAATAAATATTTTAGGAAGAAACGAAATAATATATGAAAAACAAAATACAATGTGCAAGGTGGTGTAAAAGCTTTGAAATATCAATTAGGTTAATTTCACGTGAACTGTTTGAAACTGTTGTGGGGAAAATGGGTGGGTGCTATGTGCGAGATAAGGTTTTCAAGAGTTATTAAGACAATTAGTTTAATTTTTATGATCCCATATTGCAAACTTTGACTATGAAACTTAAGACCATATCAAAGACAAAGTAATTGATTTAGATAATCAATTAGAAGTTATTATTAATTGTAATCTATAAACCTCTAGTAGAACAAAATATTGAAATATATTGAATACATGTTTATTTAATATTAAAAAGAGATTTAAGGTGTTTTTTAATATTAAATACACACGTATTCAATATTTTTCAATATTTTGTGCTACTACGTGAACCTTTATTGTAATCCTGTAAATATAATTTAAAATCAATTATTTATCTTCTGCTGTTTTATAAAAAATAAAAGATACGAACAAAATGAGAAAATATAATCGATCGAAGAACAAAACAAATGAATGATTGTCGTGGTGCATGAAAAAGATTTATATTATTAATAAAATGTTATCTCATGAAATGGATTATGTCCGATGTAGTTGCAACGATGAAGAAGAAGACAACGATAAAGATGATGAAGCAGAATCTCGATCGCCCAATCTTCAGCGACATTACACGATTACGTTTAATACTCTTGCATAGTAGTACTAGTCGTAGTATTACTAACACACTCATCAAACTACTATTACTATTACTACTATTACTATTACTACTACTACTTCTACTACACTTATGAATGCTACTTTAATGTCTTTGAATAAGAAGGTGCGACGTAACGTTCGGCGTTAACCTTGATAAACCTCGCTTTTCTGTTGCGTTGTCGTATTCTTCGACCCTGATTATGGTATTCCTTAATTGCAAGGAAACGCTTAATACATGGAAGCCAAGAAGAAGAAGAAGAAGAAGAAGAGGAAGAAGAGGAAGAAGAAGAAGAAGAAGAAACATTATGAAAAACGATGCCTTATGTTTCCTTGATACTTTAGTACTTTTTTGTTTGTTTTTATCTTTCTTTCTTTCTTTCTTTCATTTTAATTTATTTTCTTTTTCATTTTCAATTGTTTTCCACGTTAGAGAAACCGACAAGAGAATTATACATGTATATGTGTGTGTATTATGTATCTAATGTATGCGCCTGAGAGAAGTCATGTGAAAACACAATGGACGACACAACGATGCACTCGACTATTCTCGATGATAGAAAAAAAAAAAAAAGAAGAAGAAGAAGAAAAAAAAAGAAACCGATATGGAAAATTGATTTGAAAATTTTCCCTAGATGGAATCGGAGATCGTGGTGTGCAACAACTTTTCAAATTTTCCCGCCAAATCTCGGTTAATACAAGTGAACATAGGGAAAACGTTAGAATCGTTGCCGATCAAAAAAAAAAAAAAAAAAAAACACGAGGCACTTTTCTAATTGATTTTACACTTTTATAGTTTTGTCTGATTTTCTTTCTTTCTTTCTTTTGATATCACTCGCATGAGGATTATTTTATCAAAAAGAAAAACAATCAATAAACCTGCTCACAATGTTATAAAACAAATGATAAAAAAAAAGAAATAAAAAAGTGAAAAAAAAACAAAACAAAAAAAACTTATAACAAATAAATAACAAAGGATTATAAAATCACTGAGAATGTATTGAAATTAAATCAAAAAAACGTTTCTCAAAACTTTTCTTTCTTCCTATCTCTCTCTCTCTCTCTCTATTTCTTTCACTTTGACGACAAATCACACAAGAAAATTAACATTAATTATAAATAAATAAGTAATACAATATTATTATTAATAAATAGAAGAAGAAAAAACAAACAAATTTTGTTTATTAAACAAACGAAATAAGATATATGAGAAGAAAGAATAGAACAAAATAGTAGAAACTTTTCTTGATTGTTTTTTACCGTTGAAAACTGTAGTTGCGACTAACGTGTGTAATAATTATAAAAATTTATTTAAAAAAAAGAAAAAAGAGGAAGAACAAGAAGAAAACAAAGTGTAAAAAAAGGAGAAAAGGAAGGATAAAGAAGAAAGAGAGATAGATAGATAGATAGAGAGAAAGAGAGAGAGAGAGAGAGTGAGAGAATAAGAGACACGCGCGTTACCGAAGACGTGCGACTACTGACTCGACGTGAACGAGCGCACGATTGGTTTATAAACTTGATACGTCACTGCGCACGTCTCGAGTCGAGCCTCCGATTATCAGCGTTTCTGATTGGTTCACTGTAATGTCCTTACATACCCCCGCCATATTTGAATTCAACTATGATAGAAGAAACGAGCTGATAGTCGTTCGTCACTTTACGTTCCTCGCGTACTTTTACGACGTCAACGACCGATAGGACAAAGATAAAATGAAACATAGAAAATTATTTTATATTCTTATACTTAATAAAATGTATAAATAAATGAAATAATAATAAACTATTGTTAATTTCAACAGATCATACATACATATATATATATAATGAATTTTTCATTGATTTATAAAATCTAATGTTTTCTCACACACATATAAATTATATATCAAATGTTTTCATTCACAATTTGACGGTTATGATTCATATGTCATATCAATGTAACAAAACTATATTTGGATATAAGATTTGAAGTAATACAAATTAGATGCAATCTAAACGTTACATTTGATTGTTGCAAATCCTTTCTTTCTTTCTTTCTTCCTTTCTCTCTCTCTCTCTCTTTCTTTCTTTTACTCCCTTTACACGGCCTATATCCAGCTAAAAATAGTCAATGAAATGATGGTTGTGTTAAAACGATCATCTCACTTCTTTTTCTTTCTCTATCTGTCTCTTTATAAGAGACATGTAATATTTATAGTAAAGGCACCTCCTCACACCCGGACATAATTTCGCATCGGTACCAATTTCTTATTCGTAGATATAACGAATTATAACGATCTCTTCCTTCATGTTTTATAAACAACAAGAAAGAATAATAATCTAGTAGTAAAATCTTATTTTTCTTTAATTGGTTAACATGGACTACTTTGTTTTTACGCAATCCTAATAAGAAATACCGACCGGGGGGAAAAAAAACGAAGTATTATTTGTTTAATCTTTTAAAAAAGAAAATTTCCAAGAGCATGCCCTATCAAAAATAAAGAATGAAAAACAAGTGATGCGTTTTTTTTTTGTTTTTTTTTTGTATAAAAATCGACCACTACTTGAAAACCTCTAAAAGATGAGCTTATAGTAATCGCCGGATGCATAACAAATACGCCATTAGGTAATTCAGAAATGTGCAATTTATCTTCTGAGTCCTCTCTTTTTTTTTTTCTACTTCTATCTTTCATAGGAACACACCAATCGTATTTATGTACCTGTTATATCGAAGATCCAAAAATGCAACACAACTGCCATTATATGATTAATGATAGAAAAAGAGAAAGAGAAGAAATGAACATGCACGGTTTTTTCCTAGATAATTAAAAAAAAAAAAAAAAGGTAATTAAAAAAGAATCAAAAGAAATGAATCTATATATAAACCTTCAAGTAATAATTACTTTCGACTTAATCACGATAATTGGATAGATTTTCATAATGATAGAAAAAAAATGAAGGAATTTACTAGGATTATCGACAGTCGATAATCTGATGTTATAAATCAAGTAATCCTTGACTCGTTAGTTTAGCACGTGTATCAATGTCAAAACTAAACTGGACATTTATCTTAAACTCGTTTTACATTTGCATAATACTCATATTGCAAGTGATAATAAAAACCAAAAAAAAAATCAAATAAAAAAAGGATTCTTCAAAGAAATTTCCAGAGAAATTGAAAAACAGAAAAAAACTTCGTGCTGTATTTGTATAAAAAGAATAAAAAAGAATAATAATAATAATAATAATAATAATAATAGAAATGATAAATGGGAAACGATATAATAATGTATGAAATACAAAGAAATACAAATGTGGTTATATAATAAACTGCATAATAATAATTGCGACATATTAGACGAGTCAATCGAAAAGAAAGAAGAGGACGACACCACGTCGAAGTCCACACGACGTAAATTCATCATTGCTTTGTTCGCATTTGCGACCTATTGAGAAAGAAAAAAAGAAAAAGAGAGAAAGAGAGAGAGAGAGAGAAAGAAAAAAAAATGAAATACAATCGTAAGAATCGATAAAATATACTTTCCAATATATTTTCATAAGTTTTTCCTTATATCTTCCTTAATAGTTTCTTTGAACGAAAACCCATGTCAAATATCTCAAACGTTTTAACTTCTCTCAACAAACATTTATTTCGATTACCTAATCGTATCATTCAGTACACATGTATGTAAACGTAAAAAATATACTGAAATATCGATGAACATCTTACATGTCCCCAACACTTATAAAGTTACATTGACGTCATATTATAACGTATGCAATGATAGTTTATGATGATAACAATGATCGTCATTATTTATCTTTTCTACTATGGTTGTCAATGATACAATATTAAAACAAACGATTGGAAATAAGACACGAACTTGTCTTTCTTTTTTTTTTTTTATCTCTCATCGAATTCCTCCTTTCCTTTCTTTTCCTTACTCTATAATTTTTTTTTATATTTAAAAAACGTGACAAATAATAAAAATCCTATCATTGGAATGTTTGCTTTTACTTTCGTTGGAATTGTTTCATTATCGTCAATATGTTATAAGTATAATATGCATATATGATAAATACGAATAATATGAGAATTTTAATGCTTAATGCTTGTTTTCTTTTTTTTAAATTATTTTTTCTTTTTTTTTAAAGGCACTACAAACCTACCAGTTTATTGGTTCTTAATCTTATCAATATATAAATACTTGTACATTATCTTATATCAGTTACTAACAGTCTTCCTCTAATATATAAAATTGATCAAACTATCTTAAATAAATATAAAAAATAATATATATATATATATATATATATATATATATATATATATATATAAGAAACAACACACACAATAACTCTTTAATCGTCCACGTGTAGATTGAAGGTATTTTTTCCCGGGACAAAAATTCAAGTATTCTCTACTTTATCATGTGAGATTACCGACCGTCGATAACTCAAATTCCTTCACTTTATTTTTTTACTATTATAAAAATATTTCAAATAACATAATTTGATTGCAGTAATATTATTGCTTATAGATGCGTACTTTTTTTTTTTTTCTATTTTAAAATAACATATTGCATTATTGAAACATTTATTAATATCCTAATTTTTTATACTAACAATTCTGGACAAGGTTGGCAGGACTGTTAAAGAACGACTTGAGCGTACACGTCGGTGGTTTATGAAATTAAAAAGTTACGCTTTTTGTCTTAACTGCTACAGTCACGGCATATCTTCTGAATTTAGCTCCGTGGTCATAGCCCATGTGATACTGTTCTTTTAATTCATCTAATTCTACTCTCATAACCTTAAAATCAAGTGAGCTTCGCTTTCGACTCTTCTCAAGGCTCAGCAATAATACTCAACGTGTAAAGTATCTTGTTTTTGTAATCAATAAAAAACAAAATCTAAATATTATATATTAGGATACTTCTAATAAACTCTATGTACATGATCTTATTTCAAATTGAACTTATTTACAGTTAAACAAACTTCAGGATTATTTTTTTAAATATATACAAATCAAGTAACACAGTAATAATAATCAGAATGGCGAATAATACCTGTATCGCATTTTCGCAAGACGGACAATATTTTGTTCATTGTGGAATAGATGGAACATTCAAGATTTGGGAAACAAAAACGAATAAACTCAAGGAAGAATGTATACCGAATGAACATCTTAAATCGCCATGCAATGTATTATTCTGGATTTCTGTAAATATTCAGACAACAAATGCAACGGTATAATCAAGTGTTTTTTTTTTTATTAATAGTTGTCACAAGTTATTTTTCCAACGATTGCGTTATGCAGTTTCATTTGATTTCTAATTATGAAACTTGACAAGATCTAAACATAATATTTAAAAAAGAATATATTACATAATTACATTGTTTCCCAAGTTAATAATCTGATTTAATATAATAATAATAATATTTTATTAATATTATTGTAGCGCTCACTAAGAAGTAAACGTGCAAAGAAAATGATTGTTGAAGAGACTGGACAACAAAAAGAAATCATTGTTATGGGATCTGTAAATGGAATGATCATTTTATATGATGTTGCTGCTGCTGCTGTTTATGGTCAATTAGAAAATGGTCATTCTTCTTGTATAACAGCTATAACTTGGTCAACAAATAGTGGTTTGTTCACAGCTGCTGACGATCATTGTATAATTCAATGGAATATTCATGAAAATGAAATTAAATCTAAATGGAAATGTGGCAAGGCAAAAGTCACTGCTTTAGCAGTAACGAAAGATGGAAAATCAGTGATCTCAGCCGATAGAATAATCAAATGGTGGGATTTATCTACTAAGAAAATAATTAAGACTTTTATTGGTCATGCTGGTCAAGTTAATTCTTTAAATGCAATAACAGTCAACGAAAATAACAATTATTTAATCAGTGGAGCAAATGAAGATACATGTCTGAGTATATGGGCTTTAGATGAGGTATGTAGAAGACTTATTCATTTATGTTTTATACAAATCATGAGAAAAATTCATGTATTTATTTATTTATTTATTTTATATGATTATTCACCTAATATTTATAAATCTATCAATGTGATTAGACGAAGAATGATGACAGTTCCGTAGCTTCATTAGCTATGAAAGATGAAGCTTCCTTTGTTTCTGCCCACGTGAATGAAGAGTCTCAAGTGATTGTATCAGCTACTACTAAATCAGGACAAGTACACATTTTTAAATGTGAACCCAATGGAAGTTTCAAACCTTTTAAACCAAAGCTAAAGATTGCAGTTACTTCTTATGAAAATGAAAAAGAAACTGTACAACAAATTCCCATTATTATGGCCAAATTGATAGAAAATGAACATTTATTATTGGCATATGGTTCTTTTGTTAATCCGATATTTGAAATAATTATACCAGATTATTCGAATAAGATGCAGTATTTAATACGTTCAGAAGTTAAAAAGACTAAAGAAAAGAAAGATGAGTCAGTTGCAAAAGTAAAAGTGGAGAATAATGTTGAATATCTTTCTCCAGGTAATATACAAAACTTGTTTATTATTATTTCATTATTATCATACTGTTTATTAAATGTTCAATGTTACATTTAGGAATAGGAAATACGATGATTAAAAGACATAGGACAAGTTCTGCTAGCTCTCAATTGCCTTTAAGAGATAGATTAGAAAGTCTTAGTTTAAATGTTGACACTAATACTACAAATAGAACTCCTTCTAAGGGAACTAATATGACGCAGCTATTAATGCAAGGATTAAACAACAAAGATAGAACCATTTTAAATAAGGTACTATTTACAGCAAATGAAAGAACAATTAGAAACACTGTTGCTAAATTACCAGTTCAAGCAATAACACCATTGATTGAAGAATTATCTATCATGTTACGAGGAAAAATGTATTCGTAAGATATCTATTTTTTTTATTCCCCCCTATTAAATACTCATTTAGTTATAATGGATAGTTTTAATTATTGAAAAAAAAAAATTAATTTATTTTAGAAGTATGATAGCTTCTATTTGGTTGGAAGTATTGATAACAACATACTCAACACATCTTTTGTCACATCCAAATATCGACGAAACGTTAAGTCCTATCTTAGGTTTGATTGATGAAAAGTTAATGTTATTAACTGAGGTATCTAAATTACGAGGACGTGTTTCACTTTTAACAGAACAAATATCCAAAAACCACGATGATCAAGACACGTTAAATGATTCTTTAATTGTCTATCAAGATGTTGGTAAGCATTTTATGATCAACATATTATGTGTTTAAATTATTTTCATTTATTATTATTATTATATATATATATATATATATTAAACATGATAAAGGGTTTTTTTTAATTCAATTTTTGTTTACGTTAGATTCATCTGAGGAAGGTTCTGCCATAGTAGAAGATACCGTAGAAAGCGAATCAGGTGAATATTGGGAAGAAATGTCGGACCAAGAAGAACAAGAAGAACAAGAAGAGCAAGAAGATCAAAATCAAAATGATGATGAAGATGAAGATGAAGATGACAGTAATAGTATCGAATTTAAAGAGGAAGATGATATGAGCAGTTGAATTTTTATTATTAACTTTGTACAATTATTTGTGATTAATGATAAAAGTATAATTTCACAGATTACCAATCATTTTTATATATTTCCAAATTATCTGTACAATATTTGAGAAGTTTTTCGTGAAGACTGTTAAAAGAATTTTATGTCCAAGAATAATTGATAATATTTATGAATGTACTTATTGTAAATAATAATAAYGAAATACTTTTATCAAAAACTATTTGACATATTTATTGATATAATTATTTGTATTTATTTAAATATAAATTATGAATAAGATATAATATGGATTAATCTAACTTTGAAATGCAACATTTTTATTATGTAAGCTCTAAATTGATCGATCTTTAAATCACTTTGATGTCGCCATCTCACGAACTTACGAAACACTACTATGATAAACCTTACTGTCAGTATTTATCAAAGTCGATTGTCGATAAGGTAGATTTTTTTCAAACATTTGTTAATTTATTACTTTTTAAATGCAAATGAAAGTAAATCAATTGAAATGTTAAATTTACAATGAGACTATGCAAAGTAATGAAGAAATACGTCAAATGTGTTGCTATTTTGAATAATTCTTATTAAATGCTAATCGTATTATTAACATTACAAAGTATTCGAGAATTTGTTAATATGACATGAAATATAAAGTAAACCAATATCCGAATTTTTGTTCTATTGGATTATTCAAAAAGTAATTTCGATTTTTTTTCTGACACAATTTTAACATTAGTTTATGCAAATTCGGCAAATGAACAACACGTGAGATTGGTTAGATGCTAAATTTATCAAATTCAACTGTTTATGCTTACTTGTGTAAGGCCTAGGTTTAAACTTAGAAGTGAAAATTGTCGTGATTTTTTATAAAAGAAAAAATGAAATTACTTTTCGAACAACCTAATTATTATTAATATTTTCGACTACGATAAATAACTTTGACTTTGAATCAAGTT